GAGTGTTCAATTTATGAAGAACCAACATAGCTAACAGACCCTAGAGTGTGTTTTTCCTCATCAATCCTTGAAAACATTATGCAATGATGAAAATCGGAAACATAAAAGTGACATTTTCGAACATTTAAAATTCATATGAAGACTTCGGAAGAATATGTCACCCAAATAGGCCAGTTTTAACTTGACAAAATCCCTTCGCTGCAATCTGATACAGACACATGTTTCGAAGTGTAACGGGACTTGTTACATTGGTTGTGTTCAAGCTAACTTCGAAATAAATGAGTGAGGTAAATAACTCAACAGGCCAAAAATATATGAAATTCGAGGGTATTAGCTTTTTCTACAACGGTTTCAAACAAATTTGAAGAAAAGATAGACTTATCAATATGAAGAAAGCTTATTTTTTGTGCAAAGGTTAAATTATGTAGCATAGCAATTCGTGTCTAGCATGCAAAGTAACTTCTCCTGTGTTAACTCACTTTCACTGCGGCTGAACACGAAACAGCATCAGACTTGACTTGACAATGGACAATTTCAGTCTCTGTAGTATTTGAAACACTTTCTTTCGCTGAGTCGGTCGGGAAGGAAACACTCGTGGTGTCGTTATCAACAGATGCACGCCAAAGCGATGGCGGGTTTTTATTCGCCAACGGTTTCATCCGCTTGCGTTTGAGTTTTGGCACCTTGTTAACACTTAGCTTTAACGTAGAAACCGGTTTCTTATTTAATATTTTTGGTTTTAAGAAATCTGGAGAATCGCGAACGACTGGGCCGCCAAGGTTCCATTTCCACAGAGCATGGTTGGAATCTGGTTTGCTTCCTTTCGGACAGGACATGGTGAACAACGGACTCAAACCTCCATTTTGAAGAGTTAGAGGCGAAGTGACAGGGAACAAATTTGAAAGTTTAAAATGGGAGTTTGTTTTTAAAACAGGCTTTGCTATTCCTGCAATCTTTGTTTTCTTTGCTTTTGGTTTGTCGACTTTGTCTGGTAACGGAGCAGGCTCCGTTGATTCCGGAGCAAAGAATTTGGCTAACGCATTACCGACTAGTCTTTCAAGTACCTTGTCCTTTTTCAATAGTTCCTCATGTGTTGGTAAATAACCGTCAACTTTGATTACGGGACTGGCCATTTTTCGATGAAAGTATTCTGGATTCTTTTCTTTTTTAGCTGAAACGTCAGCATTTTTGTTCGACCTGTAAACTTGCCCGTTAAACAAAGTTTGGCCTTTACGAGATTTGAGCGTAAGAAGTTTGTCTTTTCGCTTCGGTTTCTTGTCAAATCCTTTGACGTCGTGCCTTTCCTCAACGATTAAATCGTTGGTGATAAGTGTTTCGCGGCTTCCGATTTCCTCTATCAAACTTGGTGGTTTCCTGAGACTTTTCTTTTTCTTCTTCACTTGTTTTTTATCAGAAAGAGGTTTCACTGGTCTGCAAACTTCTTCAAATAATGGCGTCAAGCTTGCTTTCTTCTTTGTTTTGGGCTTCGTTTTATCTATAGGCAAGACTTTTGTTCCCGCGAACTTTGCACTGACGGGGCTTTTTTGTTCCACCAGCCAAGAATCTTCAAATCGCTTTAACAATAAAGCTGGAGGCGATAGAGTCAAGCTTTTTCCATAGTCTTCCTCGCTTGATCTGTTCTTCTTTGGTGTGGTGATTTTTAACGGAGAAGAGAGTTTCTTTGTGTCGACGTCTTTTCTCCACAACCTGGTCAGCTCACCAGCTGAAAAATCAGTTTTCGTTGGTGTACTTGCATTTGACAACGACGTCGACGCGAAGCCGCTGTCATTAGACGATGAATCAGAAATGAGAGAGTCAACATCTTGCTTCTTCGACGAGCAACGATGAAAACGAAATTGACCCGTTCCATTTACTACTTTGTGGGTTTCCACATGTCCATTTAACTCCCTCCTCTTGGGAATTTTCAATGGCGATCCAAAAACTTCCCGTTTGTCCAAATCATTAGCCGGTCTTTTCTTCCCTGAAGTCCATTTACGCATCGTTTTGTTCCCATCCACACTGTCACGCTTGTTTATGCGTTTCTTGCTCACAGTAAGTTTATCGAAGGCTTGCGTTTGTGTACAATTCTGCACCTTACGTAAAGAACACGGCGGAACGACCAGAAAACCTTCCCCGCATTCATTAACGTTTCCAGAAGTTAGATCTCCGTCAATGGCCGCACAAGTTGTATTGTCCGTTAATGTTTTATTTACTTGACAATCAGCTTCCGAGCGCAATTTTAGCTTCTTCCCTTTAGCGAATTTCGTTAACGTTAGGTTACGTTTAAGCGGCGTCAATTTCTTGTGTTTATCAAGCACTGCTGATTTGTTCCGAATTGCTTTGTTGTTTTGGTGGGTCGTTTCAGTGCACTCCCTGTCTTTACAACCGTTTTCCCTTCGATCACTTTCTCTTCCGAATGGCTCTGGATATACATCCCCCGCTCTCGTTAGATTCAGTTCGCTAGGCTTGTCGATATAGATTGAACAATATTTCTCTACTTCTGTTTTGGAAAGTAGGGTGCAGTTGGCAGACGAACCGTGAATTCCATTTACTGTTTTTAGCAGTTTGATTTCTTCAGGATCGCAGAAATGCCTTCGAACTTTCATTTTTTCCATCCTAGTAAATAACGTTGTGCGCGGTGTTGATGGCAAAATCAAAGCCAACAGTTCCGCCAAAGGCAACAAGAATTCACCGTCGATATTCAGATATGCTAGTTCAACTCCACGAAATACGAGCCTTCCACATTTAGGTGACTGTTTCTTCTCCTCTACCCCTTCTGCTGCAGTTTCCAAAGACATCATAAAGTCTAATGTAGCTGCACTCTGTGTAGTATCTTAGGAGCCGACGGCCCGATAGATGCTCAAAGCCTGTATGTTAGTGCGACTAACCAGCTCGACAGATAACTTAAAAATCCCTCGCTGTGAAGTCAAAGGAAACGGACAGACCGCATCAGTATTTAGCCTAGATTCTTGGCTCAGTGTGAAAATCTTCAATTCCGCCTTAACTTTGTCCAAAAAGCGCAGATTTGTACTGCAATGTAGGGACAAAGTGAGTCACTTTACTTCAGTCTCACGTTAGACCCATCTCAAAAGCACGCCTCTTTGCCGCTAAGCTCAATAGCCCCAGGATCGCTCTGTGATTGGTCAAACTCTAAGTAACGCAGCGTCATTGGTCAAAATGGCGTTGCCTTGTTATTGAAATACATCATACATTTCCTTCGTCGACGAGGTTATGAAAATCGGGTCACATACGAATCTAAAGCGTATACCCTTCAACAGCAGTGTTTTTTTCAAGAAATCGATTCTTTTCTTTCCCAACGATCGATGAATAATGAAGGAAATTACGTCGCTACGGAACTCTCGATCGGAAATCCGTGTACATTTTTAGCCCTACTGTTTTGCCTTACGCAGTTTGTGCCACTGAGATTGTCTGGAATTGAGCTGAAGTCTGCTTCATCATATGCAGTAATAAGGTGTTGCATAACTATCCTAAACATAATTGTTATGTGAATGAAGTGTAAATGTACCTTTAAGCTTGATTTTACGCGATTTGTAGTTAGAAAGGGGAAAACTGTGCTTGACCATACACGAGATATAAGCTAGCAATTAAACATCGACTTCTGTCAAATCTGTATATTTGAGCGTGTAGAAAACCTATCACAGATAAAAAACGATTGTATTTAAAGGGGTTTATTTACTTTACAGTCTCCTTTCCTAGTATAATAAATCTTTTGTTGTGATCCCAAACTAGACTTTGTTGTGTATTTGATAACGCTATGATTCAGTGGACAATCGATTTAATAAAACCTTGTGTGAATGTACCAGGTCTACTAGACATGCTCTTAAATTTTCTACCATATTTTCATGATCATGTTTGTTTAATAGACGAAGATCTTCACCATGAATTCTTTACTAATAAACTCTATCATTGATAAGGAAAAGAGAGAAAAAAGATACGCCATCGTAAACAAGCACTATTTTACCAATGGCCTATTCAGTCTTCCCTTCAGATGTGAGGTAGTAATTTAGTTGAGATAAGCCTATTGCAAACGACCATTTAAAGGTTCCGTGTTGTCTGCTGTCAGCACACGGAAGCCTACTTTTACACGGTCAAAAAGCACAGTGAGCGGAAAAATTTCTTCAGTATTCCCTGAAACATCTGGTTCTCTCCAGAGGAAAATCATTTCAGTAAGTGCCAAAGAAAATTATGCTTATTGCTGCAGAGCAAGCTTACTACACTCGCCAGAACCCGGTCTTGTCTTACTTAAAAGTCTAGGAAAACTACTTTATTCTAATTCCTTTTGCTCGACGCGACGTGTTGTGTTCCGTACATTCTAAAGATCTGTCTTCTACCGTTTGTTCCCTCGTAGATTCCATTTGCTTTCTGTTGAGAGGGAACTCTATTCAAGCATGTGGACAAAATCAAGCTTTATTAATTTGGAGATAAGTTGTCGCGCGTGAACCGCCCCCCGCCTTTTAAAACTGGAGGTACCAAGGAGCTTTGTTCTCGATTTGTTTCCGATCAAATCTATATTCGTCTTCGACACAGCCTAAACGATCCGTGCGATTGATCTGACGCAGACGAAAGGTCAGTTAAATTTGCATAATTATTCTACACACGCGTTGGGCAATGAAGACTTCTGACTAAAGTGGTCAAGACTCTAACTACAAGATTTTCAAGTGTAAACTGAACAAATCCAAGACTTAGGTACAAAGCGTAACAAGTTTCGTTTCTCATTTGCCCCAAACAACCTTGAAACCATCGGTTACGATCAGTTAGAGATGAACTCGCTGATAATTTGGTCCTTGTTGATTTCTCAGCTCCAGAGAATACAAAAACCAAAACATCAACTCAGTTAACACTTGAACGGAAGTATGAGCGCTAAAGGGTCTCCCACGAAGTCACACTTAACATCATGACGATATGCTTCGAAAATATCTTCCCCTTCCTCTTGCAGCCGGGATACGCGTATAAAAATAGTACAATACATCTCACAGAGGTCGTGTAACGCAGTCTGCTGGAAAGTTTAATCTGGATAAATAATATCATTAGTGACAGAACTTTGATCTTCAGTTCTTTGTTGTCCTGGTCCTCAATAATCAGGTTTTTGAGCGGCGGTTTCTTACGTCGCTGACAAGGAATGACATATTGCATACAGTGGCGGTAAAAAATATAAAGGAACACAAACTAAACCAACAGCATTTGGTTACGCAGTAGAAATTCTTACCGTTAATGATAAACGCCTAAACGAAATAAACAGCCTCAAAGATTTTCGTAATAATTAAAATCCTGACAGGGTTAGGCATTGTGAAAGGTATAGCTTATTTTTCTTCAGTTGTAATAAATGCAAAATGAAATTGTTCTATAGCTACCGTACACAATTACAGGGCTTCTATTTAAAGAGATTCAATATTTCCCGATAAAGCTAATAGGAGTAAATTTGATAGCCACAAAATCTGGCTGTGTAGATTAAAAATGTTTTTTTGTCTGTGTCAAATAAAATTGATAAGTTTCAGGTTAAAGACTTTTTGGGAGACCACAGCTTTAAAACGGGCACGTTTTAGAGAATATATATACCAAAACAGAAGCTATCTTCTCAATTTACTTTGAAAACATGACATGTCAGACGACACAACAAAATAAACTATCTTAAACACAAAATATCAGTAATTAACAACGGTATTCGAGTCGAAAGCGATAGTCAGAATCAGTCAGTAAACAAGTGGAGCTCCACAAAGTCTCAATACATGTATGTATACTTAAAGGATGATCTTCCTGTATCAATCGTGCGATAAGAGTCGTGTCGCCCGCATCGTCATCGAGGACTGACATGTTTACACATCAAGCGAAGGATACATCGATCTTGTCAACACAAGAACTATAAAACAATTTAAGAGGTTTACTACAGAGTTATAATCTATTTTAGCATCGGTGAAGCGAAGAAATGTGTTGGTCTCTTGTTCGGATTTTTGCTCTTGCTTCCAAACCTGGCGAGAAACAGAAGAAACAACACGGGTTACTACATGACGTCAATTGACAAACTTCCAAAACAGTCAGTAATGATCAGAATAAACACAGGCACTCCTGTGAAAATATATATACTTTAAGTCAGCCAATTGATATGCCGACCTATGCCGATTACTAAAGCACTACGTTCCAGGGATAATGAATTGTGAAAGGGATGAAATTGTAGTTAGTTTACCAAAATATTCTTCAAAGTAATTTTAAATTTAAGAGTAGACGAAAATTTAAGTTCCAATCAAATAAAATTGCAAGTTTCATTATAGCAAAAACTAGTAAATATACTTTGTATACACGAAAAAAACAAAATAAATGAGTATGCGGAACATAAGCAATTGACCGAACGGCCAAATTGTCGAAAAAAAACTTCATGTCTTGCTTGGAAATTTTCAAGCTCAACAAACGATTTATCCAGAGATGAAATGATCTTCCGCCGAGGTCAAAGGATTATTATAGTTTTTCCTTTTTTCTTTTTTTTTTTTAACATTAAATTTCTCCCGATTTTCGAGGCTTCTCGAAGGAAAAATAAACCTTTTTTCGTTGGAGAATGTGGCCGGGTTGTGAGCGGTGAACGTTGAATTTTCAGAACCTCGGCGAATCTTCGGCAGAAAGTTGAAGTGAAAGGTTCCGCGCTGGCGAGTTCATGACCATGGGTCCATAGTTTGAACTGAGATAATAATTTATAGCCTAAACGAACGCCTTTATCGTTGATTAATTATTTTTTTTTACTTTTTAATGAGCCTCGACTTTTTTTTTACTTGACGACGATTATTGAGTTTAAAGTAATGTTTTTCTTTTTTGTGCGAGGGCGAAACAAATGCTTGATAAAACGTGGGAACTGACAAACAATAACGATAGAAATGTGGTCAGTGAAAAAGAATAAACTAGTGTCACCACTGAAACCCGACTTATGTATATTTTCTCGACAAAATTACTTTCTATTTCCATGGCCACCTCGTAATATCACAAAAGATGATCTTTTTTAATTTACCCATCAATCACTTTACTTTCCGGCCATATGTGCTGTGTACGGAGACTAAAACGAGCGAAATTATTCCCACAAAAACTGCACCTGTCAGGTCACTGCGCAAGCTCGGTGCCCCCCACGCGATTCACGCGAAATTCACGCGTGGATTTTTGCATTCGTGTGTCACTTCAAAGTTAGATGGTGAATGTTTGGTAAAATTTCGTCTGCGGTCTCAGCTCTCTACATTTGATTTCGATGTTTTGGTACACAACGTGTCTCATATAAATCGGTTTTACAGACTGCAAATAACAGCTATTTTAATGAAAAAAAAGAAAAAAAAATTCGCCCGTAAATAAGTTGAATACGCTTGAGGAAAACTGCGTGTTTAATTTCCATTTTGTTTTAAAAGACCACTCGTCGTTAAAGGCATGTTTGAAGGCACGCCAATGGCGATAGACAGACAAAAAAAGAAGAAAATCAAAACTCAAACAAATTTTTCTTTAATCTAGATAAGAGAGAAGAACAAACCCCAAACAATCTACTTTTGAGGGTAAATCACTGCTCCGTTCTCCAATTGTTCTAACTTTCCTTCGAAAGTGTTTTTGTGAAGGCAACGGGTGAGAGCTAGGGTGGGGAGCCTTCAGGACAAAGTAGTTTTAGACGAATACTCCTTTAGGCGGTGTAAGGAATAGATCTTCCTTTATTAGCGGGGAAAGAATGTTAACATTAAAAAGGGATTATAGGGGTCTTCTTTCACAGTATGTAAGAAAAGATTTTGAAGATTACCTTGGTGTAAGAGGAGTCCTGGAGAGAAAACTTCCCTTCTTCTTGACTGACTTGGCGTTTGAAGCAGTCAGCGGTCCAAGCATGCTCTCTGGTACTAAAAGTGACAGAACACCAGGACCGTTAGGAAAGGTGCTCTAACGAGATTTGAAAATTCAGGCTGAACTCTTTAATGTGAACAGAACAAACCAGGCTAAGACGGACGTGTGGTGCGAAGGGTTTTTAAGGTCTGCTCACGAGATTAGTAACAGGCAAACTTGAAGCCAAGCTGTTGCAGCTTCAAGTTGGAAGTGTTGGAAGGCGGGAGGGGAGCTGGGGGAAAGTGGGCTTACCGGGTCTACACTCCGGGGTGAGCGGGGTTCCGTCCGCACGATGAGAGGTCGGGTTATATGGGGGTGAACGGATATTCTCATCGTCAGTGTTTATGAACTGATTCCAGTAGTCAACAGGCATTGAGAGAAGTCGCTCCATAACCTGAGGAGAAACAAAATATGACCTTTGTACGAACTTTGATTTTGTTAGTTTCTGATAAAAAATTAATACGAGCCAATTTATTTAGCGGAAAGAATTATTCCATCTTCCGTGAAAACTTCGTCTGAGCTGAGATTTTGGCTCGATACGGAGGGGACCCAGCCACAATATTAAAATTGCTTCCTGAAACGATGTTCATAGCACATACAGTTGGCGCGCGAAGTTTCCTCCTGTGAAACCCCAAACTTTATCCCTGTCTGCTCACTAGATTCGTTTTGTGCATTCTGTAAATTTCATTATTTTCTAATCACGTGTTCATGTGTAAATCTCCTAGCACGGATTTTCCCCACCCTACCTACCTTGGGTTGCCATTTGGCTTCCTGTAACATCTGCATTGGTTCAAGGTTGGCGGAGGAGTTCTGCACGATAGTCGGTCCAAATACTTTGGAAAGGTTGCTGGCATCCATTTTACATTCTATGCAGTGTGACACTCTGAAAATGAGGATATGATCTAATTTCAGAAAGTCTGACACAAAACGCTATATGAACCGTTAAGTTAATTACAATTCTCTCTCTCTCAAAGCTCTATGAATAACAAAAAGGAAAGAGGAGAGAGTTTGAGCTGGTTGTTATCTCAGGATCTTCTTTTCCTCAGAATTTTTTGGAGATTCTCACTGTAGAGTAGACATTATGCTCTGCTAGTGCGTTAAAAAAATATTGGATTCGTTTAACAGTTTGCAAAAGTTATCTATATTCATATCGCGTTTAGTGAAAATCAAATGTAAAAATGCAGCAATCATTCAAAGACATTTCTCAAATTCGCGATTTTTCTTAATTTTCTCTACGTCACATTTTGATGAACTGAGAAGAAAGAAGGCAAGCTGGTTTTCAAAAACCATTTGTGGGAATCATATAGCGTGATAATGCCTCGTAGATTGTACAAGTATCCAGAGTGTTTGACGAAATAAAGTTGTGTCGAGAATGACCAAGACGTTTGATACTTCGTGTCTTCAGTACTAAAACTAATTAACTCAGTATGGTACATTTAGTTTCATACTTCTGCAAGTGCAATATGAGATAAGCGAGAGTGTCTCTGTTCGCTTGAGGAAGCTCACTGACAGCTTGGTATGTCGCACTTGCACTGTCGTCTTCATCTGTTTTGTCTGACAAAATCAACAAATACATGGAAAAAAATTGCAAACGCAGAGTTTCTCGCAAAAGATGAACATTTTTGCGCTCAAGTGTTTCTGGAACACACAAAAAATCCTCAATAATCCATTGAAGAAGGGTGAAAATATCTCTTTTGTCTGGTTTTGAGTATTAGCGCGTCACTGAAAGTCCACCAGAGAATGTGCATCCTTATACACCCGTGTGCATTTAGTGTTTTAGTGTGCATTTATACATTTCGCAAAGTGCTGACAAGGAGAATCTGGTTTAACAATCAAGAGCTTCTTCAGTTGGGGATCATTTCCTATATTCTCCTGACCTTAAAGATTTGATTCATGGGCGATACTGTAGGAAGAAATTAGATGCTAGTCACTCTTAGGGGTGGTGAAGATTAAGCGCGCAGGCGAGACGAAGGGATAACACGCACACGTAAACGGAAGACGAACAAATCTTACTTGCTGCGTCGACGAAATTCGACCACAGATCGTAAGTGACCAGAGGCTCGGCAAGGTTACGTAAGAAGTCTTTCAGCAGTCCACAAACCACGTGGATATCGTCAACTTTTCGCTGAACAACAAAACGACAACAACAATATAATTAATCACCCGTGGCGGTCTAACTTAAAAACCCCTTTTTCACTGGTTGTTTACCAAGTCAGGAAGTTTTCCCTGCGTAAACTTCTCCTTGAGTTCTTTCACACTGCGCTCAGCCCTGGAAATACAAAGAGAGAGTTTATCTCTGAAGTATCCCGAATAATTCGTAGTTGTACACAGGTGAATTTGTTATGGAACGCACTTCTATAAGATATTTGATTGCGGGGCAAATTATGAACCAATCTGACTTAAGACTGCTGGTTTTCAGCCAATCAGTTAGAGGAGCAAGCCGCGTGAGAATTAGCATGGACGGTAGGCTTTTTCCGCCATTTGGACTGAATCCTGAAACCTCAATAAACCTACATTACTTACCCTGGTACCCTGTAGATTCCGACCTCTGAAAGACCACGTCGTTCAACTTCGTCGATACATTTGATCTAAAACAAATAAAAACATAAATAAGTTGAAAAAAAGAAAAAAAAACAAAAAACAAGCTAGACTGTAAACCCTTGATCTCTTTTGTAATGGGCGATTACTACATATGTAACGGCTGACTTTATAAAGCGCACTAAAATATAGGGTCGCCTGAGAACCTTAGCAGCCTCCCAAAAAGAATGGCAAAGATGTGTAAGGTCCAGTTCAGACGTCTAGCTTGAGTAGCACGAAATGCAGGATAAACTGAAGCCACGAAACAATTTATCTTCGTAACTCCCCAGCCAAAGTAAATTAACATAAATTATGATTTTATTGGGGGGCGCAGTGATCGTCAAGCTTAATTCCTAGCTCAACGACATTAAATAGTTTAATTTAAACGCTGCACTTTTGCGAACTTAATTCATGAATTCAGTTCCACACTACAGGAGCAAGACGTTTGAACACGGCCTAAGATTTTCTACTAAAAGGGCGTGTACAACAAAATCCTTAATGACAATTCACTTACAACAATCTCGGGCACCATAGGACCTGTGGTGGGAGCATAAAACTCGATGTTTTCATCCTACATAAAAAAAATAACAAATCATCAACAGCAATCAGTCAACAAACAAAAACAGAATACAAGACCTACAACTAATTATAATGGCAATAATTGTCTACTCTAGAAACCAGACAGAATACTTCCGGGCTGACTTAATTGAAACGCAATTCTTGAACCGGAATTTAAAAGCCAGGACAATTGATAGTTTTTAATGCTATTAACACAGAGTTCATGCTGAACGGTAGATCTTGGAAGTTAAGGGTTTAAACGGGTACCTGGGAATTTTCTGGGAAGCCTGATGAAATGCCAAGGGAAGGGGAAGGGGATGAGGTGGGGTAGGGTGGGATGCATTAACCATTTGATGGACTGGCACTCCATCCAGTGGGGAGTGGTAATAGACTCCTAGTTGTTTCACGTTAAGGAAACCGGGGTAACCTCTGGCTGCATGGGTAACTTGGCTTGAGTAAAGACTTTGATACCAATTAATCCAGTGAAGAGTATTATTCAACCCAGTATGAGAGTCAGTGATACATACTGGGCGCTTCCGTCCAGAACCAGGTGTGTCAACACTTGGAACACATGGCAAAGGAAGGTGGTCTTTACAGTCTGGATGGCACACAGCTCGACAATCTGAAATAAAATTACATATCACATTTAAGCAGGTACTTGGCAAACAGAACTGCTCTCATATAACACAACAACATTTAACCATCTAACTCTCATGAGTAATCAAGACAGAATTTCTTTACACATTATCAATACCACATCAAGCTGACCTAAGATGAAAATGAAAAAAAAATTGTATCCAGTAGGGGATTATTAGTTGCTGCAATACCAAAATCTTCCAGCTAATATCATAAGAATTATATGGCAGACAGTGAGGGAATTTGTAACAAGATCCTGGGGGCAATAATTCGCTGTATGTTTTAGTTTTCCTGGCAAATCCAAGAAAATGAAGAAATGTCGCAGAAGAAAACTTTTCAAGTAACAAATTGTACAATTAACAGGTTGTATCATTCACATTTAACACAAAGAAGACAAACTACAGAAAACATCACCACATTGCAACTTAGTTCATACCACCAAATCAAGAACAGTATTCCTTCCCTATTAATCTCCACTCTTCAACAACCAAGATCTAATTGTTAATTCTCCCCTCTACCACCCACATTTCCTTGTAAATCAGTTACAAGAATTTGGTGTTAGATCAAGATGAAAACTTCTTTGTAATAAGTTTGAGTTTTCTCATTACTTGTATGCTGGATAATGTATGAATACTAAGGGAGAAGTTACATGTAAATCACTTTTGGGAGTAAAGGGATTAATTATCATATAATTACCTTTGCATTTCAAGGCCAGTTTTCCAAATTTTATCCTCTTATTACACTAAAGAACGAGAAAAAAAGCTGATATTTTCAGTAAACCATAATCTTCACTGATTCTCTATTCATTCACATTTTTAACAACCTGTTTTTGTTTGTTTGTTTTTCACATATACTCACTGGTTGGCAAGATTCTGGCTTGATAACAGTCTTGGAGCACAACACATGTTTCTGAAATTACAATTAATTAAGGAGTCACTATCAACTCAAATTAAATAATGATCAATTCTTGAGAAAATTTAAAAACAAATTAAACTATCACTTTACCTTTTCCTTTGTTGCAGGTCTTTTGCCATTCTGTGAGGCAATTCTGGAACAATAACAAAAAACTATAAGAAATGCTGATAAACTAAAGTTACTCTTTTACTGAGTATCTCCAGCTTTCCAAGGCCTTTATTAAATTCTAAATTTGAAGGATGTAAACCCACATCATCACCTTCGCCATATCCTTGAGATGGAGTATGGTGCTAGAAAAATACATTTGTAAATCTGATGACCAAAGAAGGAAGAAGGGAAATCTTATAAAGTACATGTAACTAGCAAAAGTTGGGCAGCTGCTGTGTCTTGTACATACTGTTTTTCATACAGGTAAACCCCGCCCTCAATTAGGAGAATGTGATGTTTAGTTAAGCATCACAAAAAAACAAAAACAAAAAAAAGAAAGTAATCAATAAAAAAAAATTAAAAAGGAGAAGAAAAATGAATAAGAAAGAACACCTCAGTAATACAACATTGTGGTTGAACATATCATGAACCAGATAACTGGGATGCTATGCCAGAAAAAAATATACCCGTCTGTGCTTGGCATAATACATGTTCTTCTGGGCCCCCTTGTTCAAATAGTGGATAATGCTATCCACTGAATAAACCTCTATCCTGTGTTCTTGCAGTACATTTTGTTATCCCTTTTCCACTGGATAGAGATTTATCCTATGGATAGCTTTATCTACCTTTTGAACAACCAGGGCCTGATGTTTAACTGTACCATAATAGTCATTGGTTGTTTAAACAATATGATTTTGTAATTAAAACAGCATTGGGATTGCTGAAAATTTAGTTGATCAGAGGTTTAGTTGAATTTAATGTTTGATTAAGTAAAGGGTAACTCTGATGTTCCCTTTTTCCATAACCCTTGGGAAATTTATTGAGTGATGAAGGTGAAGCATCCATTCACTGAACTTGACTTTGAAACAGGGTACTTCAGAGGACTAAATACTTGCAAGGCCATTGTAATGTGTTATTGGTTGTACATGTATGCCATTCATTCTAAGGCATCTTCTACTATTCAGTGCTATTAACAATAACCAATTTTCAAGGAAAAGGTCAGAACTTCACATCGATATTCAAATGCATATTGACAGTTTCCCAAACTAAACTAGAACTTGGGTAATGAATAACAACAACAGCTTATTGATAAACAACAATGTTCACCTCTGTAGTTGTGGAGTCACCTTCCTCGGGCTAGTAATTTCTTCAAGTTCTCGTATTGCCTGACGGTATGGGTCTCGATAATTTAATTCTGAATAGAAGGATAAAAAACATTTTTTTTTCAATATGTAAAGTAAACTTGAACAAAATAAAACAACACTTATGATATTTTAACCTATTTCAGCCAGCTTTTTCTTTCCTCAGGTTATCACTGGTAATCAGTGGTACAGAGACACTTTATGACTTTACAATCAACATTTGCAATTGTCTGAAGACAATCCTTGTTAGTAGTCATGCTGATGAAATCAAAACTTTGACCCTTTACACCTTAACATCAATATGTATATTCTCCATACTGTTCTCTATACATTTTGTCTGGTGCTGACAAGGAGAGTTTGCAAAACAATCAAGAGATTCTTTAACTGATGATCATTTCTTTCATTCTTGTGACTCAGGGATGATGTTAAGGTTAAAGGTTAAAGATTGCACATATTAGACTCATAGTGATATTCTGACAGATATCTCACCAGGGGCTGATGGCTGAACATGAATCTGTGGACTTGGATAAACTGGAACATGGACTGGACTGTCTGGAACAACATGTTTCACCACCACCTGCCCATCTCCCTGAATTTCAAATACAAAACAATCTTGCACATTTTTCACCATTTAAAAAGCAATATCTACCTCTGGGAATTCAAGAGCAAAAAAACAAGAGGATAAAAAAAAACATGCAAGAACTTGAAAGTCAGTCAGAGTGTACATTAGCAAGTACAGTCAACTCTCTGCTAAGGGACACTCTCATAAGCCAACAGCTCTACTTGCAGACATTTTTTAAATATCTTTCAATGGTCAAGAAAGAATTTATAGATAACTAAAGCAATGTTCTGCATTTCGTGGACACTGTTATAATTAAGTGTACAGTTTTAAAATTAGAAATTCAAGTATACCTCATCAGTTCTGGGTCTTTTTGGAGGAGTAACCTAACAATGATGAGAATAAAGAAAAAGTGCATTTTAAAAATCATTTACTAAGTCAACAGATTAAATGTCCTGGATCTCCTAATAATTACAACAACTGATCTTAATCAATAGTCATGTTATCTTCCTAAAAAAGTTGGTTTGAGACCTGAAAATGTCATAGATGATATTTTGTTAATAAGAGTTAACAAAGTAGATGTGCTTACATCAAGCTCTTGTGCTGCTGGTGCAGGCTGAAATTACACAAAGAAGAAATACAGAGTTAGACTCAAATTAGGACTTCTTGGTTCTGCTCATGTAGAAGTAACCAAAGATAATGAGTTCTACTGGTAAAAAATATAACAACAACAACAACAACAACAACAACAATAATAATAATAATGGGATAATAGTTGTGGAAATCTAGCAGTGGACATTCCTAAAGTCCACCATCTCTTGGTAAAAGGGAGGAAATCCAAAGGACTCTGAGAAAAACCCTTCGAGAGAGGACAAGAACCATCTACAAAACTCAACCCACTTGTGATGCCAGGTCCAGGAATCAAACCCAGGCCACAGCGGTGGAAGGCAAGTACTCTCCCAGCACTGCACCACCCCCACTTCCATGATCTACATTGTAATTGTTACTTACTGCCTTTCTTATGGTTTTCCTGGGATGGGAAACATCCTGGAAAGTAACAAATAAAAGCCTGCATGTGAACAATAATTTCTTAACAATCACAGGTGGATGATGAGACTATCTGGTAGATTTACATATCAGATGAATTATTAAAATGTTTGACCTGGGCATTTCACATCAGGCAGCCTTTATTTTAAGCAGGACAGGTAAAATGAAAGCAATGAGTCCTTTTACCTGTAAAAGTTTTTCAAGAATTCCAAGCGATTTTGAGCAGTGAAAAGAGGTACTACAGGCCAAAAACTTAACTGTTTACCCCTTAAACAAGAGAACACTGATCAGGTCTAATGTATAGTGACCTGAGTGAGGGAAATGATCCTATTATACAATAGGATTACAATTATGATGATCACAACATTTATTATCAAAATTCCTACCAAGTCCTCCTCTGTGTTGTCATAACTGATGTCTGAAGGAGACAAGATTGAACCACTAGATTCATCCTGATTACTGAAGCGCCTAAAGTAATAAAAATAATAATTATGGCTTACCAACCATCCACAACTTATGCAACAAAATAATTGTTGCAGGGAGGTTTAATCTATGATGATACGAGAGCAAGGGTAATCAAAAGTAGCCAGCTGCCAACAAAAATCACCCACCCACAGAGATACAGTACTTGGCAAATCCTTCATGAGAAATAACATTCTTAACCCTTTGACTGTTAAGAGTGACCAGCACCAAATTTCTCCTTACAACATAACCTCTGAATCAAATATTTGGGTCTTGAGAATAGAGGAAATGATCACCAACTGAAGAAGCTCTTGATTGTTTAACAAATTCTCCATGTCATCACCATAGGAAATTTATAGAGAACTGTTTGGAGATTACAGTGTTTGACACTAACTTTCTGGCTAACTTCCCCTTAGGGCAGCCAATTTTGTTTTTTTGTTTTTCTGTAGTTATTTTGGTTGCCCACCTACTAAAAGGCTGTGAAAACTGAAAGGAGGCTTGTTTAAAAAAATTTAAAAAACAAAAAGATGTCAATTTGATTATGTAATGTAGTTGACATGAAGTTTTGTCCATGAATGAAATAATAAAAGTTATATCAAACTGTTATGGGATGATTTGGTGTTCCCTAGTCACAAAGTAGTAACTTAATAAATGTTTTGCAAAAATATTGAAGCACATCTGGCCATGCAGAAACTGGTTTCCATCATGAAGAGTGTTCCTTTTACACAGAGAAACATGGTGGCTGTTTTGAAGTTTGTACCTATATATGTTTAACAGACAAATAAACAGGACTGCAAACCAATATGAGGTTGTTTATTTCTTTATCACGTTTACGGTCACTGTCATATTACCAGTCACTTTCATCACTGCAAATCAGATTGTTCTGCAAAATATAACTCCAATGAAAAATCTGATTGCCCAATTGGGCAAGTCTTAGAGTTTTTTTACTTGCCCACAGAGATATTTCACTTTCCCTGAGCAATGAGGCAAGGGTTGGTGTTGAATGCCAGAGAAAGTATAATGACATTAGGGCATGAAAGGTTAAAAAAAGGTAACCACAGAAGCCAATAGGTCAGTCCCACAAACCTTTTCCTTGGACTGGCAAAATCCTCATGGTGACACTGGCTCAACTGCATCAGTGTTTGTCTTTCATTGTCATTCAACCTACTCATTGTGTCTTTGTCATTTAGTAGTTCACGGATCAAGGCCACCTGTCTTTCCTGTAATATTGAAATTTATGTAACAAACCAAATATTAATAGAATCTTGAAGAACTCATGATAGAAAATATATTTTGAAGTAAAAAATACAACCTAAAACCTACTTAATTAAGTGATGATGACTGTGGTACCAAGCCCTTTTCAGCTTTCAGTGCTGAATGATAGCAAAATGCAAACTTGTCACATTAAACTTTTAAATGTAGCCATTGAACAGGAGCAGAAGGGGAAGAATGCAGTAAAGAGCAATTTCACTTCTTTTTATTAAGGAGATGAAGACTTCAGTGAAGATGGTATCTTTACATGGAAGATCTGTGATTACAACTATCAGAGATGGTCTTCACAGTAGTGTCAATAAATGAAATGCATTCTATTAATTTGTACATTGCATACCTCAAATAATGGTATGTTGTCACTAATATAAATTATGAGAGAGTTTATCAGTTTTCTCACCAGGTGATCTTGGGTTGCCTCTGCCTTCATTCTTTTCTTAATTTCTACTTCAACTTGACTCCTGGCAAAAACGCAGAGAAAAAGCTCATGACAAAACGAAACAATAAATTAAGGTAGACAGACAGCTAAAATTAAAAATTCCTCGATCTCAAATCTACCAAAGCTCTGTCATTTTTGTCTAAATACCTTGCATGTTTCAGTTTTACTTCAAGTGCTTCGTTCTCAGCCTGAAAAAAGATTTTTGGGAGAAAATTTTGGTTGAGTATAGTTTAAAGCCACTGAGAAACAACTTCTGAAAGAAACAGAATTGATGGATGCGTTTTACACACCCAAGCGAAACTTACCGTGATCCTGGCGATTTCTTGCTTCAGTCGGACGGCCTCATTCTCTGCTACAAGCCATTTCTTTCGGCATTCTTCCTGCTGCGAAACGAACTTGATGAATTCTAAAAAAGAAAGAGAACATAGTTTTAATCCACGTCGTCTAGGTCGATTAACATAACGTCTCATTTCAGATCAAAGTTTACAAGTTTGTAATTTGGAACTATCGACGTTCTACAATAAAGCGTATAAGCCCGAAAGAAAAACCATTTCCTACCGAAAAAATGTAACACAAAGATAAGGACTTTTCTTATGTCAAATTATGCCATAAAAATTAAATATTTTCACAAACAATGAAAAATAACAAAACTTGGCCGAAGCAAACCTCCTTCAATTCCTTCAGCAAGTACCGTTGTGGAGCGGACGATATCATCAAAAGATCCTACAAGAGCTGCAACGGACATGATTGATTGTGTCATAAACAGGAATGCCTAAGAACTCGATATCCGTAGACAAAATTCAAACGGAAACTTCTTCAGTGGAAAACCGTCTTCACCACTTTGCCATCTTGTTCGTTTTTTCCCTCCACTTCTTTCAAACACACGTAAGCCAATCAGATTACGTGTTTTATATCCCTCACGTGGTTCTATTGGTGCACTCCACAGGACAAAGATCACAGGCTCGTGCAGTTTACACCGGAAGTAAAGATAACTATTGAACGAAGGGGAACGAAAATTCGTTAAAAACTAAACGATTATTAAGAGATCCCCGCAGTAATCTTTCCACTTTTTTGATGAGTTGATTCTGATACAAATCTGTACACTAATAGGATTTAAGGATCCCAATTTTTAAGGCCATTTGCCATCCCTCGTAAGAAGACGTGGTGTGACTTTTCAGGCAATCACCCACGACCGACCGACCGACCGCTTTAAACAGGGTGACAGCTAATACGGTGCCGCTTAATACAGGTTCGACTGTATATGGCTAATATGTTCAAAAATAAATAAGATGTGGTTTATATCGATTTCCACTAAGTAGAGTATAATTTTCAATACCTCCCACAAAAACAATTTTAATTCTCCAGTTCTCAAGTTCACTTCAAATCTAAGACCTCTCACTAATCTATGACTTCCATCAAATTTTGGTGAGGAAAGATGGTCACCTGTTTTCAAAGGTTACTCCTCTACAAATGGGACAGAGAGCAAGAATGGGGATGAGGTTCACAAGAGGAAACCTGCTGGAGTGGAAGGAAGTTTCTGCAAAATTATTTCAAGAAAAATTTGATTGATTGTCCTACCAAAGAAGAAATCAATATATAATTAATTTTTCCTGATTAGATCCAATCTATTTGAAATCTGTACATCTAATGGAAACTGAAGATGTGCATCCTCCATTCCCAGGTTGCACAAAGCATATTCAGCAATACGATATCACAGCGCTGTACTGGGAGTTACTTTGTGTCCAGAATGTGGACTTTAGTAAGTTATCATCTAAAATTTCAAGACTCACCCTTAGTTACTCAACAGAACTGATATACTTTCAGGAGGAATCATGCATGACCAAATTTAATGTTTACACATATAACCACATATACAAAGAGGACACCCCTCAGATAAGTTCCAAATATCAAAAGCAAAAGTAACATGTTTAAGTTTATTGACTTCTTCAATTCTGCCACATTAAAAACAAGTTACAATTATTACTTTCCTGAGTTTACTTTGATCTCTTGTGAAATAATTTTTTTAATGTATTTTAGGAATGCTGAGTGCAACAGAAACTTAACATAATTAGAATTTAGACAGACTTTGTAACCTCAATTTGAAATATTAATTATAAATAACACAACTACAACTTTTGCCTTGTATAAAGTCTGTGGTTTTTTGCAAACTTAAACGTTATAATGAAAATTATACATTTCTCTTAATTTTCACAAAATGATCAAAGGTCCATCACACTAATTATTTTGTACCTAATTTAAACAATCCAAGCAAAATATTTTCCTCAGTGTAGGAGCAGAGAAGATAAATTAATTAAATATTTTCCCCATTCATACTTGATCTCATCAAACCAAACAGTTATTATCGTTGTTCCTGCTCATCATCTGAATCTTCAGAATCTGGTGACGGAGGAGTGCAATTGTTTGTTCTCAAGGCTTTCAGTGAAGGACAACCTGTATAACAGAGCAGAATAAATGAGATAGAAAGAAGAATATAAAAGGAAGAATGGATGAAAGAATAAATGGGGGATAGTTGGGAAGATAAGAAAGTGTTAGGAAGGAAAAACAAAGCACAAAAGAGGAAATAATTTGCTATAAAAACCGAACTAAGGTGTCCTTCAAGAGGGTCTCCATTTTTAAAACTTATTAATTAAAAGTAAAAATACTCGGCCTTTTCACACATCAAAAATAACAATCCAAAACTCAAGTTCATGTGAAATTGAAGATGATCTCGTTTCAAGTTAAAATAAAAAAAACAGATTCTCAAACAAAAACTTTCACCTTCAACCTTTCTAACCTGTTTACAAAGCCATTCATCTTCTGAGTTTGGCTCTTTGAAAGAGCAGGAAATTTATCACACAAACCAAAATGGTTCACAAACCACAGCTCTTCATTCACGGGTCAGGTTTAAATGAAAAAATTCATCCACATGGACATGAAAAGATCTTATCATCTTTTTCAATCATGATTCACATATAACAAAAATTTAAATCATGATTCATGAGGAAAAAATTGACCAATCACACTTCATGTAAAAAGCATAGCAGACCCACCTTCAAGACAACACAAAGTTACAGTAACAAGAGAATGACATAAGGTGGCCTTCTGGTTAGAAGACTATAAGCTGATTCAAATTGAAACAAAATTTTGTTTGCCAGACAAAGACCAAGATTCTATTCTCCACCCTTAATTGGGAGTTATTTAAGGACCTGAAGTAAGAATGATTCTGAAGCAGGAGTTTCAATAGCAGTAGGTCACTGGTACCATAGTGCTGCCTATAAGACCTTTCACTAACATCTGCTTGGCCTGCAAGCAGGCTCTTGTGTTTGGATTCCACCTTATGACACAACTGACTATTATATCATCCACATCCACTTATGGAAAAAGTAATTGAAACCCCTGTGAAGGTGAAAGGTATAAAAAAGATAAGATAATTTAGTATTATCAACTGAGTTGATAAAGTAAGCCCGCCACTGTAAAGAGTTTCACCCAAGAGAATTTCGCTTTCAAACTAGTTTTGAAACTCTTCACAGAGGCCAATTTACATTTATCAACCCAGCTGATAACACTAAATTACCCTGTTATACTCTCCCACCAACACAGCACCACCATTTCATTAAAAACTTAAAATAACCTCTTTACTCATTTACACATAAGATAATTTAATTCCTACCTGTGAGAAGTGTGAGGCAATCACTTGTCACTCTTGTCCAATCTAGGTTAAGTTGACTCAGTAATGGCAGAACAAGGCTGGATAATCTTTTGTTAGACACTCTGGTTCTACTCAGGTTTAATTTTGAAAGAACCTTGCAGTGATTCAAAGTTCCATTTAAAAGAAGCTTGTTACTTATTCTTGTTGATGACAAACCAAGAATCCTAAGTTGTTGGAAATCTATAGGAGTTTTTACAAACATTAAAGAAAGCAAAAATTAGGCAAAGTTAATAGCATCAACTGTGAAAAAAGTTTTATCTGCAGACATCTTAGAATCTGAAATAATTTTGAACTGATTTAGAGTCACAGATACTAAAAAAGAAAAAAACAGTGAAAAAATTCAATGAAAAATCAGAGCTTATCAAAAAAACAATTTACAGATCAAACATGTGGCTACAGATAGCTCCTAGGCCAAATATACAGATGATTTCTTAACTTGATTTAATGAAACTTGTTGTCAGACATACTTACTTGGCAGAACTGTACATCCTTCATTAGTTATTACTGTTCTATCCACAGAAAGTTCTTCAAGTTCCCTCAGAGCTGTTGAAGGAATATTGCATAATATTAAGCAACTTCAGTCAACTTATTGTAACCCTGATGTATTGTTCACAGCCTGTTTAATTTTACCAAGTGTTGAGGTCTTGGAAAAGTTTTGATTTCTGATGTGTTCTTAAGAACACAAAATCCTGGAAATGTAAAATCTGAAGATGTCTGACCTTGGATCACATCTTTAATATAACCTCCCCCTAACTTTGATCAATTTAGCATTTTTTATTTACCACTTCATCCCATTCTCACCTGTAATAGATGGCTTACCCCTTTAACTCCCAAGATCTGATTGTTAATTCTTCCCTCTAGCTGCTATACATTTCCTTGTAAATTAGTTATGAGAATTTGGTGCTAGATCAAGATAGCAGCTTCTACCTGATAAGTTTGAATGTTCTCATTACCTGTTTGCTGAAGAATGTATGGATATTGTAGGGAGAAGTTTTATGTTGATCACTTCTGGGAGTTAAAGGGTTAAGCAGAAACAAGAGAAATCAGAGAAAATGCAAAACTATATTCACAAAGAAAACCCAAAACTTTATTAACCTTTTTAACCCTAAGAGTGATCAGTATATTATTCCCCTTACAGTCGCACTGCTGAGTCATTCATTAAGATCATGAAAATAAGGAAAATGATTCTCAACTAAGATTCTCCTTGTCATTACAAAAGTAAATGTATAGGGAAGCTTTTGGAGAATATGGATACTGATCTTCGGGTGTAAAAGGTTCATGAAGGTAAAATCTACTTGTTCTTGCCCTTTATTGAAAAATAAAAACATGCAAGTTTATCTTTATCTGGGAGAACAAGGAAAGTTTATGGGAGACCATAATATTTGGTTCGTATCTGAGAGACTTCCAGACTTTGAGCATAAATGTATGAAACAAAAATCTTGCCTGCTAGACTTTTCATTCCATCATCTGTAAGTTTGGTGTTGCTGAGTAACAACTGTGTCAGTCTGTATTGTGAAAGAAAAATGTGACACAAAGTTATCTAAATGGTTGAAAAAAGGGACATTCAGCTTCCTGTCTGCATTAGCTTCTCTTCCCTGACTTTTCTTTCTTTCTTGTTTAACCATGAAAGTGAAATAAAGAAAAACAGCTGTGGACAAACTTTAAAAAAAATTACCTTGTCATGTTTGCAATTGAGCGGACACCAAGGTCTGTAACATGAATGTAATCTGACAGGTCAAGTGATACTAATGAGAGGCCTATAATGGAAAAGAAATGCAAAAAAGTATGCTTTTCAAGTCATATTATTTTCATCTCTCCACACAAAGGCTAACTTATAACACTGACCACATTTTGAGATTGTAGAAAGTTATCTAACCACTAAAAAAAATTGATTTCAACCATGGACACCACTATAATACTCAGAGACCTGCCCCTCTACATTTGATCTAACTGTACCATTCCTCTACTTTTAACCTTTGTGACGGGTTTGAACAATGAGGATTGAGCTACATTAAAAAACAATCTTGACCCAAACCACAGTAATGTGTAATAACAAGAGCAGCCTTGTTTGCGAAACATGCATTGTGGCCATGGGTGAAGGCCATGTTACTTAGTTGTATCTGGAACTTTGGCAGTCATACTCAATTTTTTCACCCCT